TTTCAAATGGCAACGACTGTTTGCGAGACGGAAACACGCAGCGTCTCCGGTGTATGAGGTTCTGTACACACCTGAATACGTATTGAAGGCTGCAGGAAGGAAACCGCCCAGGGCTGAGGGATATGTTCCTTGGCCAGACGGGATAAAACCTAGGAACAGCGGATGGCCCGGGATGACTCCGGCTCTTACCAAACGGTCGTTGAGCTCTTGCATGACAGAGTCTGTACATACATGAAGTTATCGACAATCAAACTGATATTAGCTAATAGATATTTGTGGTAGTGCATGACCTAAATGCCTTCCCTTCCATAAAGACTCCATCTGATGTTCAATCTATCAACTCAAGTTCAGTATTGCCAACCGTTACCTTTTCATGTCGTATATGGTGTCGTATATTAAATAATTTTTCGCTTCGATTGTGTGTCGGCGTAACACACCATCGAAGCTGGTGGTTATACCGGGTATACCGATACATACTTTGAACGGCTGGATAATAAGGTTCCTCTCTACATGTATATGCAGCAAATGATACCTTAATTTTTACGTTACACCTGTATGTTGTGACTGAAGAAAAACTGTCATTTTTCTCACCAAAGTCAACTGGGCTCTCGCTGATTTCATCCTTAGTTTCAAAGCCTGCTTGGTCCAGTATCTTGATCGGGTCACAGGTCAACCTTGTTACGTTGTCGTCCTGCGCGTTGATCAGCTGTATGGTCTTTTTAGTCATGGCCTCCCTGTCCACCTCCTGGACCTCTAAAACAGAACTCTTCACTTTCAGATCCGCTAGCCTCTGAAGAATGGCGTGTTCTTGGGTTAATTCCATGTTGCCATTCGTTTTTTTTATTACATTGGCTGGAAAGAAATAAGAAACAGTTGATTCAGTTGGTTGTTCACGTTGATTCAATGCCATGCCCTTAAAAAGGGGCACACCCCAGTTTATTTTGGGTCTCAATTCGATTCTGCACACCTTCAAGTCTTACGACCGTCTCTTTCGTCTCTTTCAGAAAATAATTCTGCAACTACAAAAATGTGTCTGTGAATAAATGATATCATTCTAGCTACAAGAACAACAGGATTTTAGTCAATTTTATGGGGAAAATGGATTTTTCTAGTCTTGAAAATGATACGAAAAATAGGGCATTTGCACGTGAAATTAACCCATCAGGCCATCGCCTATCAGAAAGAGAAAACCCTTCTGTATAATAAAGAAAATCATAAAGGGAATATTAACACAGTAACTGAGAGTGCCACTGCCACAATAACCTGCGGCGCGAGGCATAGTAACAGCGCACACAGAACGCATCATAGGTTGATGTGGTGCAAACGAAAACATCGCATGGCGGAAGAATACAAGTAAGGCTCAGGTCCTAAATCGTTATTGTAACATGCACCTATGACCGCTGAAACGTTAACCTCTACAACAATGCTAAGGTCAAATCCAAACAGGGTGACAATCACCCGTGTCCACTTGGAAGATCAAATTGCGGACTGTTTGCAGAGAGGGTAGTAAAACATTCAAGCTGTGCTAGCTCCTATTTTGATGATCACTGAAGATAAATGCCTGATAGCCAGACCATCGTAGGCCTGCCGGTATCTCTACGGTGCTGGACGTGTTGCCTGCCCGCAGCGCGTGCAATGTAAGTGTTTTTACGGGTTTGGTTTCAATCACTTCCCTTGGCTGAAAAAATATAGGCCATATAGGCTGTCAGAAAGCAATGCCCTATGCTCACGGGACAGGTAATACACCCATAAGCCAGCCTGTGGAGAATGGTTATGTAATACTAGTACTAGGCTAACAACACTGACCACATGAATCTGACATCGATGCTGAAGGATAGTGCTTGTGATACAAGCTTGCACCGTAGTATCCCAACAATACCGCCTTACCCTGTCAACTGTCGACGTTTTGGTACCTCTCCTACAAATGGACCCCTATGCAATGGTCAAGGCTGCTGATGCTCGGTCTGCCATGGTGCCTGCAGCTTGTGGGGGATTGCCAATTGTATGCTAGGTTATGCCCCCGACACTACTTGGGGGTTTCCAATATACTCAAGACACACAGAAGTGGGAGGGGGTGGTCGTGATGTGGAGACTAACTGTTAACCTAACCCTAACCCAAATCCTATGTCTTCCCCTAGCCCGAATAGAATATAATATATACCCCAACTCTCACCCTAACCCAAATACTAACCCTTCCCTAACCCTATCCCTATCCCTAAATTAATTCGAGGCACGCGCACTAGGAAGGGATGTGACGGGACATAAATTTGGCGTCACGCACCGAAGGCGAAAGTGTAACCCAGTGCAAAGGTTATGGGGCAAAGGCACAGCAAAGGGGACAAATCTACAAGGCCATTCAATATCGTCGCAGCTGGTCAAGATTACGAAATGCACCGTGAAAGTCAGACAAGTCTACAATGTAGATATGTCAGAAAACAGGTTCAGGAGGGATGAAATCAAACCGGAACGTGGCGACCATAGAAGCAAATGTTAGATTAGAGAATTAGGTGGATTCGTAAAAATAGCTTGCACAGAGCTAACGTTTATAATACATTTTGTAGTGTCGTAGTACATGTATGTCAAAGGAAGTCACACGGACCATTGACAGGATCATCCAACAGATTATTTTTCGACTATTTACGGCATCAGTTGTCACGTCACAGCCTCAGGCAAAAATGTCGGAAAACGGATGTTAGTGTCGTAAATTCCGCCATGGAAGTGTCTATTGACAGGACCATCCTGTCAATAACAGAAAATTTTGCACAATTGACGGAGTAAATTGCAGTCAATAGTGCATTTTCTTCTTTATTGACTGGATGGTCCTGTCAATAGTGCAAAATAGTTTTAAAAATTCTATTATTGACAGGATGATCATTTAATTAAAATTTTTAATGAGCAAAATTCAGTCCAAGGTTAATTAAGGGTTAATGTCCCGCCCCGAGGTGAATATGGTGTGATAAAACCTTGTCAGTTGCTATAACCACAGAATAAAGCCACCAAGTGAGCGCAGCGAACGAGGTGGCTTTATGAGGTGGTTATAGCAACTGACAAGGCTTTATCACACCATATTCACCGAGAAAGGGCGGGACATTAACACTATTATCATATAGCTTACACGATAGTCTACCCAAACTGATGCAGTAAGTGATACAATGCACATGCTGAATAGAACATAGAACATAGTTCCCTCTGGAGTCACCTGAGGTCACTGAGTAGAGTTCACGTTCTATGTCTTCTATCTGGGTCACAGGCAGGGAACAGGTGTTCTTATGGGAGTAATTGGAACACAACTCAAGTTATTTTTGGATTTTTTAGAAGTAGAGCCATGTTCTATTGGGTCACCTGAGGTCATATGCGGGTGATTATTCATTTTGTTTAATGTATGGATTGGGATGAATAAATACCCGATTTTGACTCTATTTGTGACATTACGGCGACATAAAGAATGTGGAATGGAGCCTTCTGATTGGTCAACGTCACCCGGCTATATGATAATACGACATGAAACTTATGAAAGGATTTAGGGCTTCAGGATACTGTTCTGATAACGCATAAATGTGTTATTTTACTTAACATACGAAACTTGCTCCTAGATCCTACTAGAAAAAACTGGTAGGATTTGTCACAAACCTCATTGGTCTTTCTGATGGAGTTCATCTACTTCTTAGAGGTTCTTCATTTTTATCGCATTCAAATAACACAAAACTTTTACAATGATTTCAATCATTCATAAAAGAAACAAACGATTTGTGTAACTTTATTCTTTATTATCATATAGCCGGGTGACGTTGACCAATCAGAAGGCTCCATTCCACATTCTTTATGTCGCCGTAATGTCATAAATAGAGTCAAAATCGGGTATTTATTCATCCCAATCCATACATTAAACAAAATGAATAATCACCCGCATATGACCTCAGGTGACCCAATAGAACACGGCTCTACGTCTAAAAAATCCAAAAATAACTTGAGTTGTGTTCCAATGACTCCCATAAGAACACCTGTTCCCTGCCTGTGACCCAGATAGAAGACATAGAACATGAACCCCCCAGTGACCTCAGGTGACTCCAGACGGAACAAATATTCTATGTTCTATATAGCATGTGCAAGGGCACATTGTGTCACTCTTCACTGCATCAGTTTGGATAGGCTATCGTGTAAGCTATATGATAATAGCGTTAACGGCCCGCCCTTTCTCGGTGAATATTGTGTGATAAAGCCTTGTCAGTTGCTATAACCACCTCATAAAGCCACCTCGTTCGCTGCGCTCACTTGGTGGCTTTATTCGGTGGTTATAGCAACTGACAAGGCTTTATCACACCATATTCACCTCGGGGCGGGACATTAACCCTTAAATATCCTACCAGTTTGAAAGTTTGGTTGGAGTACCTAGCTAGTTGCAATTTACTTACAACGCATTTTCATCATTTCCTTTACAAATGTATTTTTATATGAGACGTGGACACGGAGCCAGAACAACCCCAAGGACAATGCTACTAACGAGAACACTGTGTCAAAAACGTAGATTCTGGCCAAAAGTACGCAACTATCGTCAAGAGTTTGCATACTACCACAGCGATAGGCACTATGATGGACCACTGGCAACATGGCGGACAATAACACGTTGCCTGGGGGGAAATTCACGTGACAATCTGTGTTGAATGAGCCCTGTAGGCAGTTGGTAACAACGGGTATGTCTGAGTTGTCTGTCGTGTTTCCGTGCCGCAGTGGGGGTAGCCAGGAGGTGAAGCGCGATGATTTGCTCACTTTGAGCCGGGCGAAGTCCATGCACAAGTTCTGTCTGCGTTCGGAAAGTCGTTGAAGTTCAAGGTGCTCAAGGGCATCGGGGTATGAGAGGTATTGTTGCAAGCGCGTTTTTGTATTCTTTCAATGTCATCTGATCATGTTTCTCCAGTTGGTGCAGCATAATCTAGTATAGGTCTTATGTACCCGCAACACACAGTAGTGAGGTCCGATTGAGGGACTCCAGACCGTCTTAGTCTGCTGAGGAGATATAGCCGTTTGCTTCCCTTGCATACCATGGCCTCGACCGCTGGTCATTCCACCGTAAGTCCGAACGAATGTGAAGGCCAAGTACGTAGTTTTGTTTGTGTGACGACACTGAGTATCAAGGGTGAGCGCTTCAGGGGAAGCACGCATGACAGAAGAAATTGGCCTTACATTTTCGAGTGACATTTTGATATCTCGTGTTCTGATTATTCTACTAGTCCTGCCAGAGCCTCGCGAAGAACTGGTTGAGAGGTTTTAGTATTATAACCACCTAGCGGCTATGTGAACTGCAGGAGCCATGGCCAATTCAGCTTTTGACTTCGGAAGGCCATAATTCGAGAAGGGGCTGACTGATTGTCGTGACCTAACATTTTAGACAGTGAGTAAGACCACCAAACTGGATGATACCAGTTTTCAGATCTCACAACGTCACAGGAAAACACTGATGAGATGAAAATTTTCTCCCCGTAACTTCCATCCTAACTAGGTCAGCTTTGCACTCCCGGGTCATTGCTCGTCCCAGTTCCCCATTCCCATGACGCATTGCGCATGGGGCTAAAATCTCCCAGGTTGCATAGCGCAGGAAGGTATTTGTGTTTTTGTGAGTTTTGAGGCATTTTATGCTCAACATTTATTGACTTAGAAATTTGATAGAGAATGATTTTGATGTTGTAGTCTATATAAATACTAAGGGAGCAACCTTCAATGTTTTAGTTTCTGTCATCAACGAATGTAAAATCACCACAGAAACACATAATTCAGATCACAAGGCGCTATGCAACCCGGGGAATGTTAGCACGTCGGCAGGACGTACTGCGCCTGCGCAGAACCCCGTATTTTCGCGTTTTTCGTTGGGTTTTTGGTCAACGTTGCATCAGAATTTTGCCTGTTGCAGGGGATATTCTTTCCAACATAACATTTGGAAAGTACTGTCGAAATGCTAACCTTATATGAGCGAATACAACCTTATATGAGACGTTCTGCCGGATTGCTATGTACAATACATTACGGGTTTCGCGCAGGTGCAGTACGTTCTGCCGACGTGCTGGGAATGTTTACCTCCGAGGCACAATGCGTCATCATGGGAATGGCAAACTGGTGAATGTCCAAAGGTCGATGAGAGATGACCATACGGTAACGGTATCTACGAGATCCTACGAGAGATACAAGACTGGAGGAGCACAAGGGTACCGTCATGCACGGCGAAGGCCTGAGTCTAGCCTGCATCCTATGCATTTATGTCAGCTACCTGTTCGTGTAGGTGTATTACTAGTATTACATGTGCTGAATGGCACGACGATGCTCCACAAATAGGGTCAAGATGCTTAGATAGAGTGGCTGCCCTCCCCACAGTCGAAGCACGAGCTCGTGGCATTCTACCAAATCTACCCACAGTCCTTCGGATTTAGTGTCGTTTTCCGATTTTCGTGAGTCCAAATTAAGTCTGTGTTATACTATTCTTTGCAAACTTCTGCCAGATAACAAGTGATGCGCAAGATTCCAGACCGCCACATTATTACCTTACCTTGTATTGATTGACATAATCAAATTCTTATCATACAAATAAGGAGCTATGTTGCCTATCGAACATGTTGAGCATCGAATGTCTATGCGTTCCATGACGTAACTGAAAAAGAGACGAACATCGATAGATGATTAATGCGACAATGCTGTAATACCATTGTGGTAAATGACAATATACTTGCAACATTTGTAAAGATAAAAATCATTTGACATAAATCGTGCAAATCAGACCTCATTTGCATAATAGATGCGAAAACAGCCTTTTTTATAAGAAAATTTCAAAATTTGGACACCTTGTGAAATTTGCGCTACATCAACTGATGAATTCATGCAAATAGTGGCCCTATTTGCATAATCGTCGAGAAACTTCACAATACGTCCTATACTTGAAGGTTAACAACATTTAGCGACGGTATGAGATCGTGGAACTCTTAACATTGCACAAAGAAACGGTCAAGTGACGGTTATAGTCTGGGGAAGGACATCTATGAGTAGCTGACTTTTCAAGATGGAAATTGATGTAATTAGAGAACTTGAATTTGTGCATTTTTGTAGATAATGGCAGAAACAAACGGAACCAAGGAACTGACCGAAGATGACAACCTTTGTCAGAGGCTAG